AAACGTGTGCGGGTGGCGCTCGGTTGAAAGAAGCGACCAAACACCACCTTTGGAATGCATGTTTAAGAAGTGTGGTTGTGGTTGTGGTTGTGGTCGTGGTCGTGGTCGTGGTCGTGGTCGTGGTGGTGGTGGTTGTGGTTGTGGTTGTGGTTGTGGTTGTGGTTGTGGTTGTGGTTGTTGTTGTTGTTGTTGTTGTTGTTGTTGTTGTTTAGAATTTCACCAGGTATACCAGGTAGGTGAACCTGGGGTGCCAAACCGTTACAGGACATCGTTGGTTTCGATGATGTCGCCTTGGCATGGCGGGACTTCGCAGCGAATCAATCCCAGCAGGTCCACCAACAGAGGTTGAATGACCCGAACTAGACTATCCCAGTTTGGTACCCCAGGTGACGGGTCCTACTGTATAAGGTCACTTAATGTCACTTATATAACCTCTCTTGGCAGTTTTTGAGAAAAGACAGATCGGCCTCTCATCCGCTCAAAGCAAGAGTCCTTTTCATGCCCTGGGCTGCCCAGATTCCTCACCTAGAGCGGGCAACCTGCAGACGGCCGTCTTGGGGTTGGCTTTTGAAGGAACAGGTGGGACGAGTTCAACCTCTATTTTCCCAGGAAAGAGAGAGGCAGTCATTGCATCATGTATCCCAGACACTCCATGTATGCCATATATGCCTACCTTGGTTTAGCATGTGTTTAACCTTTTGAGGTCCTGAGGCCACTTAGTCCCTCCCTCTTCGGCCACCCAAAAAGAGAGAAACTCCAAAGAGAGGTCACTCAGTTGGATTCGGACTCTGCTCCCTAACACTGCGCAGAGCACGCTCTCCACAGGCACCAGCTGCGAGACGGCGACGAGCAGCGAGCGAAGGTGGCCTTGGCCAGGGTGGGGGGGCCCAGATCGACAGAGGAACCACTTGGAGTGAAGAAAGACGCTTGGAGTGGCTGGCCAAGGCCTAGATTTGTAGGACAGATTTCCCTGAGATCTGGCTTGGGGGTCAGGGGCTCAGTTTTTTTTTGTTGGACGATGCGATCCTCTTTGGGTGGAGAAATGCTGATACATGGGTAGCTTTGTACCACCTGCCTAAATGATTGTATCCTACCTGCAAATTGAAGGGTGTCAGAGGAAGTTGACAACTACTTTCCTCTACATGGTTGTTAAGGGAGCTTGGGACATGTCAAAAGGCCTCATAGATCGAGTCATAGAGGGCAACTTTCAGATGGCCAGCAGGCCAGCAGGGCATGTCACCACGTAAACAGCTCGTATTTGGGAGACAAGAAGCAGGAGATTCCGCGTTGGTTTCACGATCAGGTTGAGATGCACTGATAGGTAGGAGGGCGATCCAATCCTGGGGTGGCGATCAATCCTGGAGTGATTCTGGATTGTTGTGTTTTGTTTCTATGCATGCTGCCCAAGCAGGTGGTTCTTTGTTTAAGCGGGGGTATGGTTGGTCACGGGCTTTTCATTGTGGCAGCTCACTTAGCAAAGCCTGGGAGCCAATTTCTTTCGAAAACATTCGTCCAAGGCCATGGTCTTGCCTCCAGCTGCCCACAAGGCAACCCGTGGAGGGAAAGGAAGAGACGTTCTTTTCTTTTGGGGAGGGCAACAGCTGCGAATAAGGAAAGCCACACTAATTACTCTGGGTTCCTCTTCTAAGAAAACTGGATGCTTCTAGACGGCCAGTCTCGTTGCTGGCAAACGGCGTCAGTTGATTTTCTATGGATCCACATACCCTCTTATCGACACTTTGATGTGGCCTTGGAGGGTGCAGTTGCACCTAGCCTGAGAAGGTATTGGGATCACCAGCCCTAGGGCTCCAAGTACCTCCTCAGAAGGTATTTAGACCCTCCAAACTCGCCCCAAACACCTTCTCAGAAGTTACTTGAATAACACTATCTCCAAATACCGTACCTGACAAGGTACGACTGGAGCCCTAGGGTTACAGTTTCCCTCGCAAGGCTCCACTTTCGCGCGACTTCACGCTCGTTTCGGGTGGAGCAAAAGGGTGGGCTTCACCCCCACCCGGGTGGTGGGACTCCCATGCGCCATGCCACAACCGGCCCCGTTCGCCCGGTTGACCTGGGGCACCGACCTCGGGCGCACCAGCGCACGAGGCGAGAAGACACCTCGATCTGGAGGGTCCGGGTGGGGCCGGACGGAAGAGAGCCTTTTGGGACCAACACTCACCTTCTCGTTTGAGAAAAAAACTGGGGTTGTTTTTAGTCCCTAGGCCCTAAGTGAGTGGATAATGGGCACACCTATCCTCCAATAGGCACCCCTTTGTGACTGCTGGATTATTTGTCAACTTTTGGAGGCTTCTTCACTGGTTGGGTGTCTATAGAGTCTATAGGGATTGCTCTCATAGTGAGAGGTGAACATTTGGCTTGGTCGCACGGCTGAATGCTTTGGAGGCAGACGAGACGAACGCCGGTGCTTCATGGGTTGGGAGTTGCAGGGAGGCCAAAATGAGCTGCCTATAGAGTGAAAGATCTCGGAGTTTTGTCCCAGTTCCTTATATTTGGCAAATGCAAGCAGAGACAGAACTTTGACTGTGAAGATGCATGGTCATGGCCGCTCGCGAACACAAAGGAGGCTTCTTGCTTATGGCTCTTGACATGTCTCCTCAGCCCAACGGAGATGTCATGTAGGAACTGATCCGATTTTGGGCAAGTTGCTTTTCCTGTGAGAAGTAGCAGTCCACAAGGGAAGCCACTGGATGGCGAACGCCGCGCACGGCTTAAGCCCATCGCTGAGGTGTGGAGCGGGACAAATCCCAGGTAGGGATTCCCTCGAGCGACCAAGCGTCGCGTGCGGAATGTGGGGAATATGTGGAGCGGAAATGGCATTCGTTTGGGAAGTGGGGAACAAGGTGATGTAAACATATCTAAACTAGGGGTCACTCAGGTTCTGGGTCTCTACTAGGGTCTCAACTACCACCCAGCTTTGCTGATAGAAACTGTTTTGTAACAGAATGCGTCGACTGCATTGCCCGGCCCCACCTGGTCAACAATTAGTCCTCCATTTGGAAACCAAAGAGGAGAATACTGCGAATCATATTTGCTTCAGAAAAGTGTCTATATATACAGGATATGTTTTACTGCGAATCATATTTGCTTCAGAAAAGTGTCTATATACAGGATATGTTTCATGTATGCTAGTTGAAAAGTGAACTTGAGTGCCCTGGTTTGTTCTTTCACAGATGCAATATCAAATCAGTGGTTTGGAGATATCACTCTGAAGAGTGCCGCAATTGCTCAGCCCCTTTCCACCGCAGGTCCCACGCTCGCAGATCACCACCGTGCCCGCCATGCCTCCAAAGCTTGTGGCGGTCTGGGGCCCAGTTTGTTTTACAACCAACCAACCACCCATAGTTGTCCAGCGATTTCCGAAGATTCTTGGAGGTCTTCTCTATAGCTTTTGCTTCTCTACACCCAGGGATGGTCTCACCTCGCCGTGAAGAAAATCCACTGTGTTTGAATTTAATAATGCCAGAGCTATTTTTTATAACAAGTTATATAATTTGCTTGGTATCATGTCAATATGAAGAAAAAGGAACCCTATACCCCCCTGCAGACCCCCCGAAAAACATGTGCCCTTGGTTCTCATGGGGCCCTTCGAGGTGGACGATGCCACCGGGAAGCGTCGCAGCCTCGCATCTTGGACGTGTGGCTGTTGCTACCCGTTTGGGCTCCTGGCCTGCCTCCATTTCGAAGGTGGTTAGGGTGGGTGCCAGGGGGGTCTAACCACCGAACCTGAGGATATGGCTGGAACATCTAAAAACGTCTCTACTGTACCAGGACCACCCAAGGGGTTTCTATTCATAGCCCCGAAAAGAGGTTAAGGGGTGTCCATGAACCACCCCTTGTGGGTCCTGGTATATATGAGGTGAAAGATGGATGTCCATATTGTTCTTTGATGGCGGTAATTGTTACATGATACATGCATGTATGTGCTTTCCTTGCGGAGTTTTGCGCCATTCGAGCTCTTGGTTATTCTTGGTCATTGGTGTTGTAAGACTCACCCGGATATGCAAGTCCATCAACGAAATCAGCGTATCCGTACGAAATCAAGAGAATCCGTACGAAATCAGAGAATCGATCTCGTCGATCTGAGTCATCCATGGCTTTCATTGGGCCACTGAGTATTTGAGGTACACTTTATACGGTATACCGACGACTCTGCCCACCAATCAAAAACGGCCGTGGCATCAACGGATTGCTCGTTCGCGCGTTTGTGGCAAGGATTCGTGTTGAAAGCCATGGCCTCGCCGTCCGGCTAAGGAGAGTGGCACCACTCTGCTGACGACCGCACTTTGGCGGCCAAAGTGCGGTGACCATTCAGGTTGTACTAGCCACAAGCTGTGTAGATCTCCAGGTTGGGCACCTTGATGAGAGGCCCTGACATTCAGCAGAAAGAAAATAGGGGGGGTGGGCTTCCACGAGTCTCCGAATCAATCCGCCCCCCGGAAACAACGGCGTTCCATTGACAAGTAGGGCCAAGATCGGCACGACCACCAGCTGCATCCAGCTGCGCAAAAAACGTCCCAAAGATGGCCACTTGTCCCACCAAAGAGGTCAACTGGGTTCACTTGTAGGTCTCCAGGAGGCACCACTGAGACAGCGCCGAAAAGGCAGATGCTTTCAACGTGGATTGAGACAGCGCCAGGAAGAGCTCCCACCGCTGTCGAGGTTGCTGATCCTCTTGAAAATGGTGTCCTTGTGGGGACAAGCTCACTTTGCTCTATTGTTACTGGTAGCGATGCCCTTCTTCCTAGTAGCTTCTTGTTACTAGTATGCCAGGAGCTACTAGTAGCAAGAAGCTACCAGTAACAAAGGGCATCGCTACTAGGAGTAAGAAGCTACTACTCAAAGAACTCATGTGATGGAGTTGTTCTTCAGGTCCCAAAAAAGCCTGCCACGATAAAGGACACAGCCGATGCCTTGAAGGACTTCTTGCCAGTTTGGGAGCCCAAAGGTGGACCGGTTTCGAGGTTTCGAAGCTGGGAAGTGGGGTGTCGGATTGGTGCATCAGACGTGAGAAGAGAAGGATGTAATACACTCAACATATCTCAACATACGCTCCATTCCCATTGGAACTTGAACATGGACCTTTGGAAGACGATGTTCCTTTTACGAACCAGTGGTTGTCAGGTTTCATGCCAATTTTCCAGGGCCTACATGGCTCAACATCAACTAAAGATTTATTCAAGACCGTTTAGCTGCGTAGGAGATGTTTTTGTTTTTCAGAGTCCATGTTTTCACCTGGTGGTGTCACTTCTTTGCATTCCACACATTTGCTTGGGGCATCTTAGAGCTGAAGAAATGGATGCTGGACGCCTTTGATTCTTGTGTTTGCCCCTTTCACTCTGGGCTCCAGCACTGGGGATTTTGGGGCGTTGCAGCCGCGTGTTGACAGCCGGAAACGCGCCCGCACCGATGGGGCGGCGAGGTGTGCTGCTCGGAGTGTCTCGGATGCGTCTCATCGGTGTGAAGATGGATGGTTCTAAGAGGTCGGTAGTTCCCAGTGGTGGGTGGTACTAAGATCCATTCCATTGTCCATTGTGCAGAGGTATGCTATATCGTGGCTTTTTGGCCTAAAAGCCATACATGCATAGGTTGGGTGCTATGGGTTAAGATCTATACACTTCATTCTTCACATGTGGCTGACATATCCCAGCCGACCGAGCCCCTTCTTTCAAGCCAACGCAACTGTGTGACTTGCGCAAACTCTTTTTTGATGCTTGGCGCCACACATCTCAATCTCGCTGCTTTCGGACCAACTCCTCTGCAGAGGGTGGTCTGAGGCCGTTCTTGCAGCTGGGTTGCTGCGGTCCATAACGATGGCCTTCTCGTTGGCCAGCATCAGTGCAGCTGAAACTCAGGCAGGAATGGCGTTTATTCTACCTTGAGTAGTCTCCCAGACGCACCTCAAACCTATAGTTTCAGCGATGCCCCTTGGAGCATGTGACCGACGTTTTGTTGGGCGTCATCCAACTGGCAAGAACACCCTCGAAGGTCAAGGCTTGCAAGAACTACTGTACGACCAGAGTCGTCCCCCCCAAGAAGACAACCCAACACTTTGACAAAAACTGGTCTTCAAAGTGCAAAGTTGGGTAGTGTTTTTTCCAGCTGCAGCTCTTTGTGTTGAGATGTTGCCAACCAATTGAACAACACTGTGGTTAGAATCATGCATCATAGTATATATAGATCCAGAGTCCAGAGTGTTGGAAACTTAGGTTGAGTTCAGACTGCCAAAAAACATATGCAAAGTTCCTAAAGCCACTGCATAGGCGACCAAATATAAGAGGTGAGTTGCTTTGGCTTTTCAGATCGAGTTTTTCCTTTCATCCCACCAACTTGCACCGCGAGGCCTCCAACTTGCTTTCTTCTTTGCAGAGCGGTGTTGGGCACGTCTTGCTCTTCACCAGCGCACCTGGGCACATGGTGTTGGCCCGGGGCGACTGGACGCTTTATCAAGGTCACACGGACCCAGACTGGCGAGCAGAACCACTTTCCCCAAGTTTCCACGGAACACCATGCTTGTTCAATGGTTCTTGCGGAATGCCGAAAGAGTTCTTACTTTGCACCCCTGCCACGAAATGAATTAGGTGAATCCAATGACTCCCAAGCAAATGACCTGCTGTGACCTGCTGTGACCCTTTCGATTTGGCCTTGGGAGTGGTGCTGTTTTCTTTGGTACAGCAGTCCGCTGAGTCTGAGCTGTATTGGTGACAAGGTCCCGGCTGTATCGGGCTGGTCCCGGCTGGAGAGGACAGCTGGACATCCAGCCACATTTATTTGGAGTAGAGTCGATGTGAGTCAGAATGTATTCCCAGCTGTAGTTGTTTCTCCAACTTTTCCATGACTGTCCAAATCCCTGAGCCAAGCAGGGAAGATCTGAGAACAGCATGCCTCAACAGGGGGCCTCTTCACCTGGCTCCAGCCCTGCTCCGACCTCCAACCTCCGAAGACGCCTCAAGCGCTGCATCAGGTGACCTTCGTGCAGCTCATCGTCCGCATGATTCCCGGCTTGGCCGTGCTCATGCTCGGCTACGCAGGCGAGAGCTCCGGACCAGGTAGGGAGTTTTTTTTTTGGGGGGGGCAGGTGAACTTAGACAAAAAGGGTTACTCATGAGCATGCTGTCCATAGCGGATGTCCTTGGTGGTCCTTGAGCCTTACTTGTTAGGATGCGCCCACCGTGTCAGTGTCCAGCCAGCTTTCAAGAAGCGACTTCTGTGGCACAACTGGGTGAGTTTACATCGCTGCCTACCGAGCTCCTTCGGGCCACCTCTCGTGTTCAATGGGTCATTGAGAGGTTTCAGATTTTGATCCATTCAGAAAATTCCCAAGTTTTTTCAATCGAAATTGCCCAACGATAGCCTCCACAACTGGGATTCTGGCACGTTACTTGTTCGAGGTGTTGCAACTGCACTCCCCTGTGGAGGTCTCCAAAGTTTGGCTGCGCCAGCAGACAAATCGCTTCTTCAACTGCTCAACTAAAAACGCTCAAAAGAGGTCCTTTTGCTTCGGAGATGGTGGACTCGTCCCACCTTTTGAGTCCCCACTTTTGTGAACTTTGAGAATCCTTCTTCACTGAAGAACCTCGCAGAAGAATCTGAGTATATAGGCTACAGTGCTATAGGACTAGAATAACCCAACTCAGACCATCCATGGGACTGGAAGAGTTGTCATGGGGTCAATGTATATTCCATTCCATGACATGGATGGTTTGGGCTTTGGGGTGTGGTTTGAACACAGACTGTTCGGGTTTTCAGATCTCCACCTCGCTTTTGCAGGCTACAGGATCTATAGCACTGGCCACCTGGATGAAGGATGACGACACAGGGCCTGGTCTCCTTCCGGTGACTGCTGAATGGTGTTTTCCCCAAGCTTCATGGAGCAAAAAGACCCTCCAAAGCTCAGGGATCGATGGCGCTGTGTGTAGCTGAGGCTCTCAGAGACCCTTAAAACAGCATGATGCTTCCTCTTCACGATTCTCACGATTCCCAACATGGGAAGTCTAGTCGTTAAGCAGGGGAGGCGAGAAGGGTCACAAGGCTCCTCCAATGTGTACCAGATGTGTTTTGCAAAGATCCTCTGTTCCTTTTGTCACGTTTGCTTGGCGCAACTTGTACCCCCCAAAAACCTTCGTTGAATTTGGCAGGCGTATTGAACATCAATCGTGTGCCTGGCAAAGCTACTACACCGAGAATATTGACCATTTCATCTCCGGGATGGTGCAAATGAAATATAGTGTTCTATATGGGATGCAAGTCTTCTCTGTCAATCCATATGAAAAGACTCCCTGGGATCGTTTATTCAGTTTATGTGTCAGGCGGAAGGAATCCAGTGACTCCCAGGCCATTGCGGAAGAATCCAAAGAACTCCCACAGAACCGCTCTTTCCAAGGTAGCTTCAACAAAAGCACAGTGCTTGGCTTGGTGGTGGCTCTAGGCCATGGCGGAGGGTCGTCCAGATGTGGCGTTTTTGTAGGGAACTTATAGATCTGCTTTGACCACGCAAGCAAGGCCGCACATGGTTCCCATAGCCAAAGCCTTTCAATATCCCCAGACACACCATGGGACTGCCATATGTGCCGATCAATTGACGCCCCTGGCACCACCCCTGGCCATTTCTTGGCAGTCCCAGACGTGTCGTCCCTTGAGCATCGCGACGTTGACAACAAGAGGAAAGTCACGGCCACGCAGCCTCCAAAGGCCACGCAGTGGTGAATCTGGCATCTTTGCAAGTGGTCCAACACCATCCCCCACTGACAACTCCAAAACATATATTCAATAATACTGGACCGCCCCCTGTTGAAAGCACTCATAAACAAACCAATTTGCTTCTTTGGGTGCCTTTTTGGGACCTGTGAGGCCTCACCTACGGCCTCATCCGCCTCGGTCAGCGCTTCGGCCCCGGCGCCGTCCGCGCGCCCCTCGCGCGCGACGCCGCGGGGCAGCCGGTGCGGAGCGGAGAGCTGGTTTTGATGCAAAGCGGCGAGGCGTGGCGTCTGGTGCGGTCGGTGTCTTCTTTTTGGTGGCTTTCCCGTTCGCACCTCTTTAAAGGGGGGGGTTTTGGGGATGTTTTTTTTGTTGCGTTGGGCAGGTTTTGTCTAAGTGGCTGGATCATCTTGTTTAGAGCCTGTTTTTGGGTGGGAAGGATGACACCTCTTGCCCCCCTCTCAGGAAGTCCGGTGGTCAAAACCTAAGGGAGTCAGATGCATGCTCACCTGGGTCGGTGAAAAGGATGTGATGAGACCCGCTGGGATGTGATGAGTTGGGATGGACCTGCTGGGATGAGTGGGCCTGCTGGGATGAGTGGACCTGCTGGGATGGGTGGACCTGCTGGGATGGGGTGGGGTCATGTTTTTCTTATAGAAATCGCCTGCACATCCATAGGTCACAGTTCCAGTCACTTCGAGTGTCCTACTTCGGGTCACGAAGTGTCTGAAACTGCTCAGCAATCCCGGCCAGGGTTCCTTTCTCATGTTGAACCACTTGTAGTGAAGGGATACCCTATGAACAACACATGGCACTGATTCTTTTTGACTTGTTGTTGGTGAAACGTGTTGACTGCGTGATTTGTAGCCTTGACATGCCAAGAACATGCGCCATGTCAAAGGTTTACAGCCTTGGCCTCATCAGAGCTCGAAGCACACCTTGCCGGGATGGTGTTGGCAGGAAACAGAGAATGCCTTATGAATCCTTCTGATGTTGATGTGCCTACTTTCTGCAACATGTTTGCCAATCTTCTGTACCTCAGATCCTGATCACACTCCATTTCTTGGATGTTACGATCTTGCCCTCAGAGTCCGAGCCCTCAAATACATAGGGTTTTGAGGGTCCGGACCCTTGCCATGGAGAGCCCAAGGATTCTTAGGGTGCCCAACCGGCTCCCCGCGCCACTGCAGGTCGTTCTCAGACCTGACCCTCGACAAGCAGCTGGGAGCGCCGAGCCAGGTGAGCCGGATCGGCGCCGAGTGTGAAGGGGCTGCTCGTGGGTTCGATGGGTTCGCAGAGGGCAGAAGGCGGGTGCAAAACATGTACAGGAAACCTCAATACTGCGTATTTGGAGCATCTACAATCCACAGGTCCCATGTTTGCACTTAAACTCATGCAATGGATGTAATCAAAGATTGGATTCTGTGCATAGGGTCCCCCACATGGATAAGAATAGCATCACTTGGAGTGAACCCTGGAGTGTTTCACTCCTCCCTTCACCCATGGTTTTATGGAAGGCCCATGGATCAACTAGCTCTTGAGCGTTGGATGGCTCAGCCGAGCTGCCCGCTTTTCATGGATCAGCAGGACTGTTTCATGGATCAGCAGGGCTGTTGCTGCTCGGACATCGCGCCAGCGCGCTTGCGGCAGGCTGGCAGGAAGCTTTGGCGCAAAGCATCCAGGTAGCTCTGGTGCAGGGACAGGAGCAGGCCTTGCTGATCTCATCGGGCTGATCAGTGATCTCATCGCTGTGTGAACATGCAGTCATCCGATGAAGTTGGGGATGATCGAGTTGGGTTCCGCCAGATGGAAAGGACACGTTACTGGGCGGTCTGTTTGAAGGCGTTCTAAGGAGCCAGTGAGCGACCACCACTTAGTGAGGAGTTTTCTTCGCCCACCATGTGCAAGCCACAAAAAACACAGCGAACGTAATAGCTACGAATTAAGACATATTAATATAACTTGGGGAATCCGTGGCCCGTGTGCCTTTCCAAAGAAACCATCGAACCACTGGTATATCCATCGACCGCCCTCCATCCGACGTGACCTCCATCGACCGACGTGGACGTTGTGCCGGCTGCGCGGGACTGCGCGGTGGGACAGGTGGTGTTGGACTTCTCGCGGAAAGGCTGCGCCTACTGCGCCAAGCAGTTGCCCGTGCTCGAGGCGGTGAGTGGGACTCGTTGAATGGTTCGTGGACGAGTTGTCGCGCACTGGCGGGCGTTCAATGTATACTTCGGTTTGGACCGTTGACGGCGTTGCCAAGCGTTGCCATGGCGTAATCACACTCAAGGACACAGTTTCCTTGCCCACTGCAACGCTTGGTGAGCACAGACATGCTGGAAGTCACTGGTGAAGTGGAAGAAGACCATGCAAGCGGCAACCAAGAACCAGTGGTTGGGAAGGCCATGGCAGTTGCGGATGCTAACCATGCAATCCACCCTTGGGTGCTACATGGAGACTTAGACACGCTACATGGAGACTTAGACACGCTATAAACTTGCAAAACTCCTGATGGGTTTTCGAACACATACCCAAACGCTCCATGGTGGTGCCTAAACGGCCCATATCTATTGCATCCATTCCTACAACTCATTTTGCTTGTTTCGGGACAAAAGCATGACGTTTCTGGATTTCGTTGGTCCTCTCAGTCTGGTGCCACTCAGCTTCCAAAGGATCCTCCAAGCGCCGGATCCTGTCAGGAGCTCATCCGGGCGCGCGCGGCGGGTGCCTCGGCCGTGGCCGGCTCCGCCTTCGTGGGTGGCAACCTGGCACTGGCGCCGCTGAGGGTCTTCCTGCTGGATGCGGAGGAGGGGGCTGGGTTTGGGACTTCGAAGTGGGGAGTTGCATGATGTTGGAAGTTGGAAGTGCTAAGAGCACCATGGACATTTTGGTTAAATTGAGTCAGTTTGTTGACTCGGTCGACTCTTGTTGTGATTCACTTTGAGATTGTCACTTGGTTTTGTGTGTGCATTTCGGGTGGTCATTTGGGCTTGCTGGACTTTTGAGGATCCGAGAGCAATTGGAAGGATCTTGCAAGGAGTCACTCACGAAGTAAAACTGCCCTGCGTTTGGCTTCATGTCGTTCCAATTCCAGGCATTGGCACAGCAACTGGGTCACCACAGCAACTGGGTCACCACTGAAAACCTACTTACCCATATGGGACTTGAATATATGCCGATCAAGCCAGACCCCGTTGGCACCACCCCTGGCCATGTCTCAGCAGTCCGTCCTGGCAGTCCCAGACGTGTCGCGTTTGGGCCGCTCCAGGTGGGCGAACTGGACCTCCCACGTGTCTTGAGCGACCTCGTCCCGCCTCGATCTCTCCTCGCGCGATCCGGTCGCTGGATCGGTCGACGAGGAGTTTCCTCAACTCGCGCAAGGCTTTCAGGTGCACTGGGGGGCGACCAGTGACGAGCATCAGCGACCAAAAAACAAAAAACGCGGGTTGGATGGGTCCGATGGTACTGTTGGCATTGACCAAGTGAGTGAGCGAGCACTGTAGCTTTGCTTGGAAAGGTTTCATGGAGTTTCATGGTGATTTGACTCATGGACTATAGAGGTTTTGCATGGCTTTGCTGCTCATTTGTAACAAACAATTCTAATTGAAGTTTCAGTTTATCATGTATAGCAAGCACACAGGGCCACAGGGTACTTCCTTTCTGTGTGTTGGGTATTCTTGGGTATCCTGGGCCAGTGCATGGCTTTATTCATCAACAGTGGGACTTCAGGGTTCGGAGTCACTTTGAGGGTTCGGTTGTTCAGAGTCCTTGTGGCATGAGCCCAGCAGGTCCAATTGAAGAGAAGTTGTAAGATCTCATCCAGACATCTACCGAAGATGCTTTATTGGACATGCTTTTTGGAGTGTCACATCCTCCAAAAGGCACCTATTTCTTAAGGCCTTTCGGGGCCTTCGGTCCGCTGAGGACGGGGCCCCGGGCCCACTTCATGTCCTTCGTTTCGGCACGACCGGAGCCCAAACGGGGTCTCATCCAACGCTACCCCCGTCACATCCAGATGAACAGGCGACGATGTGACGCAGCTCCTTCCTCCTCCCCGCGCCTCCTCACGGCGTGAGCCGCACGGCGTTCGCAGGTCCAGGCCTTTCCCACGCTGTGGATCTTCGGGCATCCGCAGGTGGACCCCATTGTCACGCAGGGCTTTATGGAACGACCCAAGCTGGAGGAGAGAGCAACGAGAAAAACCATCGAACCAAACGGATCCGTCGCTTGAGGCGGTTCTTGCGGACGATTGATGCGAGAAGTGACGTTTTTCATGACGTGCTTCCAAAAACAAGCAGCCTTTGGACACCCTTTCATATCAAGCCGGTTCGGATGCTCCGTGAATTGCATCGCCCACTTCAGCCAGTAGCCAGTCAGACTCGCAAGCGAGTCATACACGCAGCCGGATTCCATGCACATGTCCTGCCTCTCCTGTCCCAACCCAACCCACTCAGACAACATCAGATAACATCAGAATCAAAACACTATAGAAAATTCTAGGGTCGGTGTTCTAACCGTTTTTTGTTATAGTAGCTCAGGTAAACCTCGGCCGTCAGGAACTTGCGACTGGAACTTGAAGCTCCTGAACCTCCCAACATGGCCCAAACGCCTGTGGCCCCTCACCGCCTCGCGCTGAGGAGGTGTTGCAAATCGAGGCCATGAAGCGGCCCCCGAGACCACAGAAGAAGAAAGGGCTCCTGGGAAAGATCTTCCGCTGACCGGGGGACATCCAGTGGGAGAAGTGGGATGGCCTTTTCTGGCGTTCTTCATTTTGCGCAGAGCCCCACATGATCGGGTTGATTGGCTGCACCAGCGCCAGAAGAGGCTTCACCTCCGGTGATGCAGCGCCAAAGTGGCTCACTCCAAAGTGTCTCACTCGCGCAAAGTCTTCATAAACAGTGTTTATGGCTGTTCCAACAGCCGGAGGAGACTCCGCGAGTCCGCCCAGTGTTTTCGCTTTGCAGTACGTGGCAGTGTTGATGGATGTGAGTTTCGTGGCTTCGTGCGGCGCCGGAGTGTCTTCTCCGCAGCGGATACATGGTTCCACCGTGCGTTCCACCGTGCCGGTGTGGATGTGAGTAATGAGTTCGGGATGAATTGGACAAAGTGTCTCCAATCACATTCTCAGAGGGTATGTGGATCCCTAAAAATCATAGGGATCTGAGCTGGCCCTCGCAGTGCCCCCAAATACCAATTTACTTAACTGGTTTCCATGTTAATGTGAAATCAATACCATTCCCACATCGATTGGAATGTCTATGACTATGATGCGCCGGACAGAGGAGCCTCCATGTGTGCATGGTGCCATTCTGCCTCAGTTGTTGTAGCAGAGTGGCAGAGCACCTCTTTTGCCGAAGCATTTGCCAATAGTTGGAAGAAGCTCACATCTACCCTGGGGCTAGCAAGCACACAATCGACTTGCGGGCGATGCAGGTGCAGGTGTGCAAAACAGTGGTTTCGATGGTTGACATGCTTCGGAGGCGGTTCGGGTGTGTCCGTTGTTTCCTTAAAACATGGATTCGCTTGACGGCATTGTGTTGCTGGAATCGGTCATACACAAAAACGGAGCAGTATTTACTGGGTCTGTGGCACTTTGCCACTTAAGGCCAAACACAAAGATGTGTTGTTTCACAATAACTTTATCATGCAAACATGGGAGGTTGTACTAGTTACTAGATCAACAGGACATATCAAGCTTACACACCTTGCAGTCAGGTTCTTTTTTGTTTGGTGGAAAGCAGTCCTGCGACCCAACAGCATTCCTCCAAATCCTTCCTTATTATTCTGCATGTCCAATTGCAATTCACCTTTGGAGCTGGTATATAGGCAGCATCAAACCCTCCGAGAGACATGTAACTGGAAACCCTCCGGTTGACAAAGGACGGCAATCCTGTCCACTTCCATGTGTGATTGACCAGCGGGTGATATAGGCGACTGCTGAACTGAATTCCTTCCCATATGGATCCACTGCCAGGTTCTCAGGTACGGTAACACTGGACCCGACAATGGCGCCTACATCAAACATCGTCTCCGTCCTCACCGTACCTGAGGTTCGGTATGTGGATCCATAGGGCTTGAAGTGCCCGAACATTTACATTCACTTCCCAGCAACCACACCTGCTCAGCATCGAGGCCTATCTCCAGTGGAAGTCCAGCTGGCGCTTGGCCTACTCTTTGCGCTGGGATACCTAGATGACATATATCACGTGGCCCAAGTGTGGTGAGAACTCACCTTTCACCCTTTCCAGTCTAGATGTTCAGGGTGAAAACGAAAACAAGCTGTAGTAGGACGACCTGAGTCAGATCAGTAGATTGAGGATATTTGGAGGGTTCATCAGAATTGAGGAGAACCTAAGTAAACAAAAATTGTTGTTCCTTTGTGAGTCTAGATCCCTTTTGATTTGTCTCAATTAGGAGAAGGAACGCAAGCAACTCTGCAAACAGCAGAACTATATTGTGGAGATATTGAGTGCATATCATGTGAGCCACAACCTTTGACCAGACCCTCAATTTTTGGGAGTTTGGTTTTGACATGTTTTGAATGTTCCCGTTCAATAAACTTCTGAATCATCGCCACTTTAGCTTTAACATGGCTTTCACCAGATCTCCGGTCCCTCCTCAAAGACGGCCACGGCCCGATCTGACTGCTGAGCTGCGCCTTCTTCGCTCGCTCCACCGGCCCAGGTCTCCACGGGGTGTCCTTGAAGACCTTCTATCGACGCATGCAGCGAGAAGGCCCCAGCTTGCTCGTGATCCAGGCGCGGTTGTGACACCCGACCCACGGGCGGGTCACAGGGCCCCGTGCGCGTGAGTGAACCGGGAGCGTGGTGATCTAGGCGGAACTTCGGAGGAAGCGGTTGGAAAGGGGCACATGAGGACTAATTGCCCATACACTCCATGTATGCCATATATGCCTACATTGACCCCCCAAACCACCCCAACTGATCGGCATATATGGCAGTCCCATGGAGTGTATGGGTTATGGGTCAATGTTACTCATCTGTATGTCAATGTTCACAATCAGATGAGCGGATGTGTCCTGGAATCGGAAGATTTCACCTATATATGACATATAAATTAAATATAGTATAGGCTTATGAGAACGAACCAATAACTCACGATCCTGCAACTGTATAGGGTGCCAGGCACTTGATTGTTGATGGCCAAAGTGGATTGTAGGGGGCAGATACGGACTTTCCATCTTCAAACGAAAGCCAGTGCCCATCGCCGAACATCGCGGAGTATTCTGAGAGCCACTTAGACTTCACTTGATCTTTGCGGTCGCCCAAACTGGAAACAGACTACAATACAAACAAATCATGGATTATGATCCAGCACCTACCACATCCACAGCAAACAGACTACGTATTCACATGTATTTGCATCTTTCAATTGAAGCTGTATATACCCCCAAATAAACAAAAACCTCTCTCTTCCGAAGTTTGAAGCTGTATATTCCGAAGTCTTCTCGCGCTCTTTTTGGTTTCCACCTTCCTCTAACCCTGTCCCTCTCGTACTCTCTCTCTTCCCCCACTGGGTTTGGGCGCTTGGCCACGCTCGGCGGTGCAGGACCATCAGGGCCACGTCTTCGGCGGCTTCGCGGCGAGCGCCTGGCGTTTGGGCGACCGGTGCCCGGGGGCCGGCGCGGCACGGTGGCAGGTGGGGTCATGTGGTTGGGGTGGGGGTGGTGGGGCCCGGTGGGTTGGGAAGAACAGCGAAGTGAGGAGTTTTGGGGAAGATCCTCCAGATGAAGAGCTCGAAGATGTGGTTATCGGTCTATGTGCTTGGAGTGATATGTGGTTGGTTCATCTATAGCTAAGGAGTGGTCGAGAGGTCTCAGTGTGGTCTCAAAGTGCGATACCATGTGCAGCTGTGAGATGCAGAACCACAAGCTGTTTGCTTGGTTTTGAGCTCCTTTTGTGGCGTAGAACCATGGAGGAGGGAAAGTTCATTGCAGGTGAACTTGTGGGACCCCTCAATTGCAGGGACTTTGGAGGGCAGGGGATGCTAGGCTTTAGGGCGTTCACTGTTGGAACCCAACACCAGACACGAGCTGCTTGGAGTGAGCTCCGACCACCTCCGGCCTTACCGGCAGGTACTATGGCACCGGCGAAAGCTTCGTTTTTCGATTCAGGCCGGACCGGGTGGGGCCGGGCAGGCGCCACATGTAGAACGAGTTCTACGTGCGGCGCCAGTGGTTCTAGTAGACGAAGTCCATGAAGCTATGTTGGAGATTCTACTTGTAGGCTTCTCAATCATGCCTAGTGGAACTCCAACCGACCAGCTCCACCAAGCTAGTTGGGGATGCAAAACTGATGCAAGCTAGTAGGGATCCACTGCCATTTCCTGACAATGTCGGATCCAACAGGCTACTTGGCATTCGGCAGGATGAAGTACAACATGTCTCAACGACGGGTTTACCCTCTATGAGTTAAGAGTGTAAACAAGATCCCTTCGCTGCAGCTTTCTTAACTGCCAAGACCCACAGGATGCAGTTGAAAGAGAAACCCGACATCCTATACAAAAAGTTCAGATTACTAAAGGAGTTCAGATTACGCTCCCTGGAATCATTCATCCAAGGACACTTCTCCATCATTCTCCACTTTTTGTGATAATTTCGAGGCAGTGTACATCGGTGTTGAGGCTGAAAGGACATGAAAGGACTATGTAACATGCATGCTGTGTAGATTCCATTTCCATTTGGAAGCCTGGACGTGTGAGGAGACTGCTTCCGGTCAAAACGGTTCCTCACTGAACATGATTTGCCATGTTCATGAGCTGGATCGCTTATATAGTTCTCCATGGTCCCACTTGAGGGTGTTTAGCATCCATCAGCACAACCAAACATATTGGAGGTCTTTCCCAAAACTGAGGTGGTTGGTGCAGGATGCGGAAATCCATCCATGTTCGTGTCGAAGCACCTCGACCTCACCCTCTACCTCACCCGTGCAACAGCGCACGTGACCTCTCGACCTTTGCCCTGAAATCCAGGCAGCCAAAGCCTAAGCCAGTGGTCTCGGCTCGGGTCGAGCCACTGGGACTCAAACGGGGGAGGCAGGGAGAGGGAGGAAGGGAAGAGATCTAAAAGTGGGCCCACTTCGTGCGCCAGCTAGGGTGCAGGTACTGAAAACAGGTCAAAACGGGAAGGATCTTAGGGTCTTGGAGGAGGTAGGATACAGGGTGGACGTATTCCGGAGAATGGTCGACAGGATCGAGGACATTTTCAGGAGGGTCTCCGGGCCCGACATGCGCCCCCCTCCCACTTCAATCGGCAGCCCGACATGAACTCCTTCCTGCACCTGTATCTTCCTGCGTTTTGCTAGGAGATGGCTGGCGAGTTGTAGATTCCCTGGCATGCCATAGTTTGCTTATTGAAACGGCTACATCGACATCTATCGGAATCCCACATATCGGATTCTCAAAGGTTCAATGCAACAAAGACCCATGCCGAATAGTATGGTGACATCCAGATGGCTAGGACATGTCCTCAAAACACGGGCGCCCATCTTTCAAGTACTGCAGTGGTCGTGTCGTTTCAAGGCCCGCGCACTCTGCTAAGGCCTTCTTCGGAGAAGGACCGGTCAGGCAAGGACTCAGCCCAAACCCAGGTTTGAGGGTCTTGACCATGAGCTCATGAAAGGAGAAGCAACCATCCAAGCCATGTTGCACGAGCCTCCCAGGCCTCCAACCACAAGCCGTGTTTAATGCAAGGGGGGAGGAGGCAACGTACTGCGTTGGACTTCGAGCACCGCTTCCTGCGATGCACTTGGTTGTCAACAGCATACATCCGTTGGCAGGGACTGCTCAGGCAGCCGTAGATGAAGTGCGGAGCCCAAATTCATCGACCAGAAACGCGGGTCAGTGCTGGCACATGGCGGGTCAGTGTTTAAGCATTAACGGATGTTTATGCAGCTTGTTCAAAGAATTCAAGTACTTTTTGGTAGTTTTTGTAGTTCTTCCACATGCTGTGATTTGCTGTGAAAATGTGTAATTAATTGTTTAATAAGACCTTGACGTGCCTTATATATAATACAACCTTCCATTGTGAAGCATTGTGCATCGCGCGGCAAAACTCCACGACATCCACCAACAGATCCAGAACA